AAAAGAACTACCAAAAGCAATATAAGTCCAACATTAATTTTGTAACGGTTGAAGTAGATGTCTTATTGTTGAGAAAATTTTAAATTGTTTTGTTACAAAGAAATACGTACTGGCAATTCATTGTGTATAACAATTACTTGCAGCTGTCACAAATCGAAAGATATTAACTCATTTATCACAAGTATATTTTACTTCACAAAAAACCTACTTCAATTGTGAACGCACAAACAATGATGACGAGATGGTTCGTAGACAGATCTGTACTATTTAACCAGATACAAAGGAATCTATTAATGAAATGATTCGGTGAACATTCATATAAGAAGGAACAAGACAGTGCACGCCGTCGTCTTATTCTATCTATAAATTTCATAATTCTATAAATAGATTAATTTATACTTTGTAGAGCATAGTACTCAAAGGAATTATTCAATGTGATACCCACGGCCATTTTCTACCATCGTACAGCTCAACATCTACAGGGAGTTCACCCCCATAGATTAGAGCCTGTATGGTCGCATGTAGCATGGTTTTAGAGATGTTTTCTCTCCCACGAACGCTCAGTTTTTTGTTATGGATGATAATGGAATGGTAACCTTGCCCGCGCCATACAATATACACTGGCGGGGCACCAGTGACAGATGATAGGTGAGGATGAAGCAGTAACTGACCCGCTTAGGGTTTAACTATCGCCCATCGTGACGAATTCAACAAGAATTGTTCACGATGGTTTCCAGGGAGAACTACATGAAGGTCGACCTGATAAGGTATATTGCTAGCGATAGGTTCATTAGATCCCATTACTAACAATCGTTCAGGTTATGGAAGGAGCTCCCTGTCGAGGTTTTCCTCGAAAAAAGAGGTAAACCTCCTATAAAACCTCCTACCTTTCTTCAGGGTTGGCAACGCATGTATAATATCCCTGGTATTGTAGGCATTCATAAGTTATTATAACCGCTTACGATCAGGTGGGCTGTATGCTTGTTTGCCGCCTTAGTGGTATAAAAAACGAGTCATTTTTCTAGACAATAGGCATGCAAATCCATTGATGGAATCACCATCGCCAGTGAGTTCATGACATAGAATGAGATAGCAACATCCTATGTCTCATTTTAGTTCATAAACTTGTTAGCGTTAACGACTCTATCGATGGATTCCTTTGCGACTTATCTAGGGGCCAGATATAATTGTTTTAATTCAGAATGCGAAAGTGTGCGTCTATACGTGGAATTTGCAACGAGCATTTTTGTTTCGCAAAGATAAACGGCAACTTTAATTGTTATAAACATAAGATGGAAATAAACACTATAAATTAAAAAAAAGGTTGTTTCACAACCTTTTTAAAATTTATAGTGTTTATTGATTCAATGTTGGCGACGTCTTCGCTTAACATACTCGCATATAAAAATGTATCAGATAAATTGGGAACTTCTTTTATTTGGAATTCGCTTAAATATATTTTTTTTCTTACTAACCTATATAAATATGATCATAAAACCTTGCCCGAGGTTCTAACCTTACGCCTCTCATTATTAGGGCACTAAAAATGATGGATCCTTATTTTAGCGGTCATAAAGTAAGCAGTGCTCGAGATATTCCATCCGAGAGACAATTAGTAAGATATGGCGAGAAATGCCATTTCAACTGACACCAAGAACAATTAGGAAAGTAATTAAAGAAGATTGTAGATGTTCAGAGTTTAGGACCTCACCTGGTGCATGCGACAAATGCAAGTTCTTGAGATCACAAGGATCATTATGAGTGCATAAAAACTGACTGTTTTACAGTTTAAATTAAAATGCCCGTAAATTGATACTAAAATTATATTTAGACATTTAAATAAATACATGTAATGTTAACAGAGATTTGAAAAATTAATTTCTGTTAAGTTTTTTGTAGTTCCATACAAATGTAAATTTATCTTGTATAAAGATAAATTGAAAAGAGTAAATGCTGAGTTTCTAGTGAGTTCTTCTCAGCAAATAACAATATTCCGAGTCCAGCAATAGAGTTATAAAAAAATAATTATATCATATTTTTTATAACTCTACTACTAAATAAACTTATAAGAAAGCTAATTTAAAGTTAATTTAAATGAAGATTATTTCTATTCTATAGACAAAAGAGGCCTTTTGTAGTTACATGACCAAAACCTATTAAGCTTTTAAAAGTTTGTAATAAAACTCGAGGCTATCTAGTAAATAGTAAACGAATCCATTTGCTTTTTTTTTCTAAACTTACACAACCAGGAAATAAATATGCATGTTTTATTATTGAATTCAGTAATTTTATAATAAAATCTATTTAACTAATTTGTACAATTAATTTTAAAATTGATTATATATTTCATTAATTTCAAACTAAGTACCATTGTATACTTTAGATAATTCTATAAAGAACGTAATTTCAGAGACTAACAAGTTTCTAGATTGGTATTTTGTGAATGTAAATTTGCTGTTGGTTGCACGAGTCGTGCTGTTACTGTGTATTAAAGTTATGTAACTCATTAAGACGAGAAATCAGGCAATCAAAAAGTTTAGGCTTTGTTGCCAAAGTATATTAAAGTTTAAAGGGATATGGAGCCGTCGGATCTTATGTACAAAGTTTAATTTTCAACGCAGATATCCGTAATTATAATTGTGTTTCTGTTTTAATACGCATTGTCCCGAAAGTTTGAAGCAAATTGATTGTTCAGAATATTATAAGATCAAAGTGTGGTGTTCTCGATTTGGAGAATTATAATAATTATGTAAACTCGTACGTCCTAATTATTATTTTAACTATTAATTGTTCACTTCTAAACATAAGATCTTTTTTATTGCATATTATACTTTCTTATAGTACGATACTGACATCTACTGACTCCTTGCAATATATCAAAGACCCTTCATCCACTGCGGATCATTCTACGCTTCATTAGCCTATACTAGGTAGCCATTTAACCTAACAATACCAGGTATATATATGGGTGTATTTCTGATTAACATCATTTCTAATTTCATATTCAATTAGAGACAGAAGTACCTTTAACTTTATCTTAGACTAAGAGATATCCTATTCTAGATCGTATATAGCGACTGACAGGAGCCTAGTTTAGTCTAGAGTTTAGTTTCATTCTCTTCGTAATTCCTTTCAAAGATTTAGAATACTGTTTCTGCATAAGCCCTCATTATATCATCTAAAGCTGCAAAGGTTTGTGACCGAAACTGTAAAAGAAAAAAGAACTTCTCAGCAGAAAACAGTACTTCATACTGCTGAGTTCAGACAAGGATCTACTCTAATGTATGTAACCAGCAATAAATGGGGTTTACGCCAGTTTACGAGGCAGATAAAGGCAGCGCCTTAGGGTCGCCCTTAGGATTAACTGCACCTTAAAAGCTGATTCCGCGCACTGTCCCTAATTTTATTACTAATGTACAGTCAGCTTTATTTTTTCAACACATTTGAAAAAAGAGTTTACCTTTATATAATACTTAGGAATACAAATACCAAATTCTATTAATATTATAAATGCGAAAGTTTGTAATGATGAACGTATGGATGGATGGATGGATGTTTGTTACTCTTCCATGCAAAATTATTAAATGGATTTAAATGTTTGGCATATTCTAACTTAGCCTAAAATCTCCTATATAGATTTTTTATGTATTGATTCATGTGGGCAGAGCTGCGTGATATAACTAATATAAAATATAAATAGATGTAAAATACAAATACAGTAACTAGGCCTCCAGAGAACAAAATGTATCAAATAAAAATATGTAAAAGATAAAAAGAAATGTACTCATTGAAACACTATCTTTGATGCTATTTACATTTTTGTGTACATAAGAACAAAATACAAAAATTATTGCAATACAAATTGGAATTAATAGAATTCGTAGTAAACAAAATTGTATTATTCAAGAGCATCGATTAAGAAAATACACCTACACGTAACAACCCAGTGTATTCTCCCGATATCGTATTCACTTCAGTTGGCGAGAATTTACATACCACAAATTATTCGTGTATTGACAAGTAAACCGCAGTGTGTGTTTTATGAATATTACAACTTTATTTCTGGAACACTCTCAGCTCACTGACTCATTGTAGATATCCTATCGTTATTTATACAGAACAGTGCCTTTCAAAATATTTGTTTATATTTAACACTTTATTGTACTCAGCAAAAATCTTTACGTTAAATTATAATTCTTAAGAAGACAATAAATTTATACTTATGATTGACTTGTCTAATTTTTTTTCAAAATTGGCGTTAACCTAAAAATAAATATTGAAAAAAACAAACATTTTGACCATAACAAAATTATGAAAATTAGAAATTTGACTTAGTTTTGCACGAGTAGATAGAATTTTCGAAAATGATACCTTCACAGTTTATGTTACTTTATAATGTAGCTTTTTATTGGTGAAAATATTTTTTAAATCGGTTGGGTAGTTGTTGAGTATATCCATTACAAACAAATAAAATCATATATTTCCTCTTTATAATATTAGTATATAAAAGAGCTCTTTATACTTTGATATTTTTTTAACGGGGGCGAATGGAATCGTTACCCCGTTGGCGCTATCGGTATACCTACGCCTGCGGGCCCTAGTAAAAGATGACAAATGAAGGTTAGGATGAAAGCAGGCCAGTTAGTCCCTCGTGACGAATTTAACTATAATTCACCACAATAGTTTCCAAGGAAAACCGCGTGGAGGTCAACGTGATAAAATATATTGCTAGCAATGGGGCGAGCGGTTAGAACTTATTACTAACAATCCTTACTCCCCCCCCCCCCACTCTTGGATATTCATACTCTGATATCCATATAGAAAACCCAATTATGACCGTGATAAGAATGACCTAATTTGTTTCAGAATTGGCAAAATTACCACATATTATACAAAATAAAGAAAGTCTATCTTTAGTAGTGGACAATCAATGGCTGATAACATGAAAAAAATATATACTAAAAATAGTTTAACGTCACTAATTCTGTATTTTCAGGTAGCGGCAAACTGAATTTCGATTCATTTGTACGAGTCGCTACACACTTTTTGGACGAAGACGACGAAGCCCTACAGAAGGAGCTCAAAGAGGCATTCAGGCTGTATGATAAAGAAGGTATTTAAGTAAACTCTTACTTTATTTTTCAACTAGCGGCCCGTCCCGGCGTCGCACAGGTAGACATTTTTAACATTTCCCTTCACTGCTCTGCTCCTATTGTTCGTAGCGTGATGAAAAGTATACTATAACCTGCCCAGGAGTATGAAGAATAATTGTATCAAGTTTTGTTAAAATCCGTCAAGTAGTTTCTGTTTCTAACGAACATACAGACAGACAGACAAAAATTTTACTGATTGCATTTTTGGCATCAGTATCGATCACTAATCACTCCCTGATAGTTATTTTGGAAATATATTTCATGTACAGTATTGAACTCTCTATAGATTTATTATAAGTATAGATTACACACAAATTATTTCATTCATAAAAATTATAAACCTATTAAAAGCCCTCTACAATAAGAAAATAATGTGATTATAAAATATATATCCGTGTGATCTACTTCTTCCTTTTCCATGGGTATCGTAAAAGACGATTAACAGAGTTCAATGGTCAAGGGATAGACAGCAGTGGTCCTCTTAAAACATCACCAAAACCTAATTACGGTTGCCAATCCGCCCGTCAAGCTTGGCAACTATTGGCAAAGCCCCTTAGAGAGAGAGAGAGAGGCTTATGTTTAACAGTGAACAGTTAACGGCTGACATGATAATGATGATGACGCTAAAAAATCATTATTCACAAATAAATTTTGTAGTATTATACAAAATAGTCAATCTTTCATATGCATATCCAGATCTTTTCTGGACTTCTTGTTTTATAACAATATTTATTTTATTTATATTACAAATATCATCTACTTGCTATGGTTTACGCCATTCAAACGGTCAGTAAATTAATTACATTGTAAAATTAACTTAAATACATTCTAAATTTCAGTTTTTTAGACTTAGTAGTTTTGGTTGTGTATTGTTTTCTAACAAATGATTTTATAAGTATAAATGCATTATTCAAATAATTTACAGTTATTATTGTTTCTTCTTCATTCTAGTAAGCAAAAGCTGTGAACCTGGCTGAATTCCAATACATGAAATTGCTTTTATTGGAAACAATTACTGCTGGAGTCATTGTTTTATTGTCGTAAATTTAAAATATAATAGCATTCAGAAACATTTTACAATGAACAACAAAAAAGGTTATAACTAAGCTTAGAACTATTTTAAATAGCCTAATTACAATTAAGTCATAGGAAAATATGAGATTTGTCTTAGAAATAAAATAATCTTATAAATAAGTGTCAAAGTTTGTAAATATGTTTGAATGCTTACAAGTATTATTCTATTATGCTTAAACAGCTTATCAGATTTTAATTGTTCACTTTAATTACTTTTCTTTTTTTACTAACAGTAGTTTGTAAGGAAATCGTTACTAACAAAATTAACAAAATTGTAGTCTGAATAATAAAGTATTATTATTATTTTTATTAATTATATTAATTTGTTTGTTACCTTTTAGCGTAATTATAAGCAATTTTGTTTAAAACAATATTGATTTGAATCATTCTCATTTCAACCTTTGTCTATCGCTGAACATCCTTATCATTACTAATATTAGAAATGTGTAAGTGAGTTTGTTTGTTTGCTACTTTATAGTGCCCTAATGGCTTAACCAATCACTATACAATTTGGTACACACATACTATATGGGATGGTACTTTTAAACCGGGTCAATCTACATATCCCGATCACCGAACAAAGACGTGAGTAAAAGTGGGTAGGCTATAAAACATGTGGACACCAAAGAATGCTCGTAAATCAAGAGCATCACCTAGAGAACTTTGTCATTTTTCATTTAACTTCATCCATTAATCTTCAGGTAACGGCTACATCCCCACATCGAGTTTACGCGAGATATTGGCAGCCCTGGATGATCAACTCACTCCCGATCAACTCAACGAAATGATAGCCGAGATTGACACTGATGACTCCGGAACAGTTGACTTTGATGGTATGAAAATATTATGTATTAATGGTACAACGATTTTTTTTAATACACCACATGTCAGTCTCTGATAATGTAGCTTTTTGTAGCTGAAATAATTTAAAAATAATTCATTTTAATATAGATAAGGTGTTTTTAAGTCTTATTTTTGTAGTATTAGTTTAAATAAATTACTTACAAACAAATTGACAATTCATCTAATAGACATGTAGGTATACTTTTTTTAATAAATGAAAATGGAATGGTAACCCCGTCTGCTCTATCGGTATACTAGTACACTGGTGGGGCACCAGTGGGGGATGAAGCTAATCACGATGGTTTCCAGGGGGAACCACGAGGAGGTCAACCTGATAAAGTATACAATCTAATCCTCATTATTAACAATTCCTTTTCCCACATGTTTTTATACTTTGCTTTAAAAAAAAATTTAATATGACTTAAACACATCGATGAAAGACCAAATGTTTCGTGTACTCTATACCATCTATGTACCGATATATGGCTAATATCGGTACCTAATACTACGGTATATGGTATGATATATAATATTACCGTACCGTTACCGTATATTAGTTATCCGATATTTAATACATCTGTTTTTGTTGTTGTTATGGGGCCAATATATAGATATTATCAATACAATATATATGTATCGTTATATCCTACTCCTAATATCCTGTAGTATCATATTAGCTGTTAACTGTCCACTACTGAAACACAAGCCTTCCCCATAAGGGGAGCTTTGCCAGATGGTGTGGATAATTCACCGGGTCATTTAGTTGATAAGATTTTTGCGATTATAATAGAGTTTCCATCAATGTAAGGCTCATAATTTAATTACATTCAAAGTGTATATTTAAATCTAACTTATCAATTTAAAAAACATGTCAAATTTAAAACACCTTCTTTTAAAAGTCGGTTGAAATGTCTAAATAGAGATGTATACTTAAATAATACATCCTGGTGTATTCAATATACATATAAGTTTAAACTAATGTACTTACACATTACGCCTAGCATTTTGAGTAACCGTTTCATGAACACAATATTGTATTGCAAATCTTTCGTTGATACACAATGAAATGAGAACTACATACATACAATAATGGGCCCATAATACGTAGGCATTAAGTTTAATTTGAATTTAATGTAAATTTTACCGGAGAGAGACTTTGTACGATTGTAAATCATTTGCGTGGGTATTTCTGTCGCACTTCTGTTTTTGTCATTAATCAGCTGCGTTTGCATAGCTATTGCGGTTTGAAGCGTGGAATTATTATTGCAGTCGTTAACTATGCACTGCTGAACATAAGCCTTCCCCATAAGGGGAGATTTCCCAGTAGTTGCCACGCTTGGCAGATTAGAGATGTGTTAAGGGAGACGCCCATCCCTTGACTGTAAGTTCGCTTAGTCGCCTCTTACGATACCCACGGGAAAGAAAAGGGTGGCTTATTCTATGGGGAGACATACACATGGGGAGACATACACGGCGAAGTGTGGAATATGGTAATGAAATTATAAAATACAATAACAATCCTAGTCACTTGAAAGTTTCTAAGGAGGGATGGATGTTTCTCACTCTTTCACCCAAAAACTACTCAACAGATTATATATATATATATATATATATATATATATATATATATATATATATATATATATATATATATATATATATATATATATATATATATATATATATATATATATATATATATATATATATATATTATATATATTGTATGTATATACTGTATAGTGATCCACGTAGGCAAAACCGCAGAAAGTAGTAAGTATTAAAATAATGCAACGTATAAGGTGCTAATATGGCATATTATAATTTATTGGATAGTTTTAAAATGGGAACTTTGTACAAAAGTCACCTGCTTAGATACCTCTATACCACTCGTATTTCTACTGTGATGCAGCTGTAACTGTATTTCGATTTAATGGCTTCTATACGTCCTTAGATACGGCAACGCATGAAAGGTATTATGGGCATCACTCTATATTTTTTATGCAACTTAGAATGGCAAACAAGCTGACGGTCTACCTGATGGAAAGTGGTAACCGTCGCCTATAGACATAAACAGTATCATGGACATAATAGAGTATACTGTTTTACCCATGATACCCCCCATGCATTGCCATTCCTGAGGGTTAAGGTATTATTTCTCTGTACCCTGTAAATTCACTGCCACCCTTTAAACCGAAACACAGCCATGCAAACATGACTGCTTCATAGTAGAAATACGAATGGGACAGAGGTACCCAAGCAAACGACTTTTGTTTAAAGTCTTTCTTTGGTGATGTCTGTGGATCTGTACCTGTTTATAAATATCAGTTACCACTTTTCACGGGTGGGCTTTTTTCGGGCTTTTTTGTGGGACTGTTTGCCATTCTAAATTACATAAAATCGCTAGACAAACATAGATCTCCCACTAGATGGAGTGACAACCTCAAATGCTTTGCAGGAACTCAGTGAACGCAGATACCTCGAGACTATTTCTTATAGCAGTCTATTGGAGAGGCCTATGTTCAGCAGTGAACAATCAATGGCTGACATCATGATAAATCATACAATAATTTCTCCATACGACGAATCCACTTTCCTTACAACTAACACAAACGGACCTAATATAGTAAAAACCAATATTAAAGCAACATTTGGCCTGCTCGTTTTCTAAAGTTTAGTTACAAAACTATTGGACTGTAAACCGTTATGAGTCTTTAAACTTTACCGTCCGTTACTTGTTGTAGTGGAAAATCAATACAGAAACATATTTAAAAAAGATATAGCTTTGATGATGAAATTTCCCATTTTAACCTTACTTATATTTACCTACGACTACTAATTTATTAAAATAACTTAAATGACCAAAAAAAGTATGTTACAAAAGGCGGACTTAATGCTAATAGTATTCTTTACCACTCAACCTTTGGAATGAACAGTGAATCACGAATGCGGTACTTCATTGTTAGGATGGTTAGAGATAATAACTATTAATAATGTATATCTATATACAATAAACAATATATATGGGTCAGCGTAATATGTTTTCCTCTTCCATTCTTTTCTATTCCCAGTCATTTCCGCATTCACTCCCATTCTGGCCATATCGTCTTTTACACAATCCATCCATGTCTTTTTAGGTCTTTCTCTGCTCTTATAGCCATCTACATTCATTCTTAGTACTTTTTTTAAAGAAATATATATATCTCTAAAATATAAAAGATGATTACTAACTATTACTGTCGTAATGAGTTCATAAGGTGAAGAACATGGATTTTTTTTTATATGAATTTGGTAGTTCCTGGATACCTTCAATGATGATAAAATCTTAATGCTGTCCCTACACTGCAGAGAAATAACACCCAAGTCCTCAGGAATGACAAATCATTGGTGAAACAGTATACTCTGTTATGTCCATGCTACTGCTCGTGTCTATAGGCGACGGTTACCACTTTCCATCAGGTGGGCTGTCAGCTTGTTTGCCATTCTAAGTTGTATAAAATAAATTCATAAGTTTATTTATATATTATTTCGTATGTAATTTATTTCTTAATATTTATATTTTCAGTGACATTAAACAAATTTACTGAAGCTTGAAAGGAAACAAGAAAATAATGATCTTTCTGATTTCAGAATTTATGGAAATGATGACGGGTGATTAAGATGGCCGACCGTTGGAATGGTAAACAGCTTTCTGAACCTCTGGTTACTGTAATAAACAGTTAATTACTCTTTAACGATCTTCTCATTTTCTTTGCCTTTATAATAACAATAGTTAGACATATTTATAATTGAAGAATTCAATGTGATAGTATCTGCTTCTTAGTATAATCCTTTTTTTGTACTTATTGCTGTATTTTGAACCTCGTTTGTTAATAGTGGAAACTTTATTGGTTAATAATTTACTATGTAATATTTTATCTGTCAATTGTACTGTTTGTTTCCCCAATATGATTACCAGAGGGAGACTTTGTACAAAAGTCGATTGCTTGGGTACCTCTGTCCCATTCGTGTTTCAACCGTGAAGCAATTGTTTGCATGCCTGTGTTTCGGTTTGAAGGGTGGGATATGGCGTGAATTTACTGGGTACAGAGGAATAACATCTGAGTCCTCAGGAATGGCAACGCATGGGGGGTATCATGGGCGAAACAGTATACTCTGTTATGTCTATGGTACTGCTCATGTCTATAGGCGACGGTTACCACTTTCCATCAGGTGGGCCGTCAGCTTGCTTGCCATTTTAATTTGTATAAAAAGAAAAATTCTCCGTGACCGGAATATGTTCACTAGCAATGCATGAAAGGGGAAGGAGGGATTGTTAGTAATGGGAATTAATAGCCCAATTGCTAGCAATATACCATATAAAACCATTCTGACCAGTTTCAAAATTAATTTATCACGATAGGTTTACTGGCTTGCCGTGTCGTCCTCACCTATCACTCGTCACTGGTGCCCCGCCAGCGTATACCATTAGCACAGGAGAGGTTACCATTCCACTATCATACATTTAAAAAAATGCATGAATGGTATGATGGGCTTCACCTATCCGTGGTGTCATTCAAGTCTATATCCGTTCGTTATTCAATGTTGCATAAAAAAGTGTTTTGAAAAATAAAGTTCCATAAAACATAAAGCTCTTAATTATCACAAAACGTTCTCACATTACGAGCACGAGCCACAAACGAATGCAAAGTACCTACTTTAGAAGAATTCTCGCCAACAAACGCGCTGTATGCAGATTACGGTGTGAGCACAGTACTGGCGAATAGCGGAAGTGACCATTTTGGTAATAACAGACATTGAATTATAAGTAATTTTATAAATAATAAGATTTTAAATACCTAATTAATTTTTTGTGAGATGTACTATGTGTGTGCGTTTGCGTGTGTATGCGTGTGGGTGAGTTTGTGTGTGTGTGTGTATGCGTGCGTGTGTGCGTGCGTGCGTGCGTGCTTGACGTGCGTACGTGCGTGCGTGCGCGTGTGCGTGCGCGTGCGCGTGCGCGTGTGCGTGTGCGTGTGCGTGTGCGTGTGCGTGTGCGTGTGCGTGTGCGTGTGCGTGTGTGTGCATGTGTGTGTGTGTGTGTGTGTGTGTGTGTGTGTGTGTGTGTGTGTGTGTGTGTGTGTATGTGTGTATTACACCGTGCGTGCATGTGAGCGCGCGCGTGTTTGTATGTACTCGTATGTATGCGCATACATGTGCATGTGTGTATGTACCCATTTTTGTATGTAATTTAATGGTGCTTATTTTTTTTTAATTATATAGTAAACAATATTGTTGTTTCATTAGGAAGAGAAGAAGAGTGAGAGGCGATTAAATATCTTGAGGATGATTTAAGCTAAATACAGTTAAAATATAACCTGTTTTAAATACTTTAAATTTTAGATTGTACATATAAAAAAATATAATCTGTCTGAAAGGAAGCGGTCACTGTAGTGATGTGTAGTCATAAATATAGAGGAGAAAAAGAGTTGCTGAAAGAGAACTCTTACAGAGTTAAGCTCGCCTGTTGTACATCTCTATTTAAAATAAATTATAACAATATACTTTTTGTGGATAATAAAGTATGTATAAATAAACATAATTTTTGTTCGTGTACACTTCACAACAATAGTTTTTACCAACCAACATGTAATAGAAATGATATTAATGTATATTAATTGACATGCTAGATTATTATTTCGGTCTGTTAACTGTCCACTGCTGAACATAAACCTTCGCCATAAGGGGCGTTTTGCCAGTAGTTGCCACGCTTGGCAGGCGGTTTGGCAACCGTAATTAGGCTTTTAGAAATGTTTTAAACGCTGCTGCCCATCCCTCGTCCTCCCTTAGTCATAACATTGACATGATAGATAGAAAAGGGTAAATATAATAAACCTGCAATGCTGTTAGTGCTGTGGGTGATCATGGGCGGCGGTAGTCACTTACCACCAGGTGAGCCGCGTGCTCGTTTGCCCCCTGTGTTGTAAAAAAAAATACCCATATCCGCTATTCTCTGAAGTTGTGGCACCAACTTAACTCTCCACGCTGAGCACAACACCCGAGGCTATAGTTTCACGGACATCTCACAAAGAATATCAAAGAAAGACGGAACCTCCCCACTTTGATCTGGTATTAACGGACGCTAAAAGAGGGTTTCTGTATTATAAGAAATTTGACCTCTAGTCTTATTGTCTCTGAACGAAACATTCGATATTTAGTCTTGTCTATAAATTAGTATATAAATTGAATATATTTTATTATTTAAGTTAAGTTTTACATAAAACAAGATGACTTAATCTATACTTATAATAAATCTGTAGAGAGGTCAATTCTTTACATGAAATATATTTCCAAAATAACTATCAGGGGTGATTAGTGATCGATACTGATGCCAAACATGTAATCAGTAAAATTTTTGTCTGTCTGTCTATATGTTCGTTATAGAAACAAAAACTACTCGATGGATTTTAACAAAACTTGGTACAATTATTCTTCATACTCCTGGGCAGGTTATAGTATACTTTTCATCACGCTACGATCAATAGGAGCAGAGCAGTGAAGGGAAATGTGTCTCTTACATCAAAACCACTGAACCGCGGAAAGAACATAGGATACCTATTTTACGAAAAACGAGGGAAACGCGGACGAAGTCGCGGGGAACAGCTAGTTATAAATATGTTTAAATAGTAACTTTTATTATTTGGTGTGCAATTTCAGCTGAGAAAAAAGGAATTGAATTGTTTAATTTTTTTCAAACAAAAGTTGATTTAACAACATAAGAAGCATTAGTACATAGAATATAACGTTAATGTACTTCCACAAAAAAAAATTAGATTAAAGATTGTGTTCCACAAAGAAAAAAAAATTAAATTGTTTTTAATATAATTTCGATGTGACCAATCTGTAAGTATATCCTTTCAGATAAGAAAATAATTTTCTAAAACGGTTTATAACTAACTCAGTTATAAATAAATAAACATAAAAAAAATATAATCGAATTGTGAATCACCGTCTTTTTGAAGTCGGTTGAAAATATTTTCAGGCCAACTGAGTTTTGCAGAACTATTTCTATAAAACTCTCACATTTTGATATTAAAGTGAATTTTTTTATTTTATTTTTTAGTTTTATTTTGAATTCAACATTTTCAGAGAGCTATAGCAGTGATATAAATTCAATAATCTTTATTTATTCATCATTAATTACTTCATAGCTACGCTCTTATATATGGATATCTTGTTACTGCGATTTTCGGCGACCCCTTTTATGTATCACCTTATTATCTTTAAAAATGAAGTAATCAAAAATATATAGACACTTGCATTAAAAAATCTAACATATTTTCCCGTCTGTTTAAACAGATATCAAGAGACAGATTAATTATATTAAATTTATGGCATTTGAAAGAGATAAAGAGCTCTTCACAAACAGAATAGTCTATGAGAATCGTGTTTTGGAACTTCCCAAAGTTACGTACTGTGCAGACTTACGGTTAAAATACATCAAGTTAAAAATACCTTAATTTGCTTCATTTGTTTTTAAATCTCACCACATGCAATTATGTGCTTACATAACTTGCATCAACAAAAACAATTGAAGAAAATAATTCATAAAATAAATAATTATTTCTTAACATATTAATAACTGATTAATATAATAAAAGAAATTCGTATTAATTGAACAAGATTTTGCGAAGTATAAGCAAGCTGAAGTGACAATGGGCTGGTCACATAGCTAGAAGAACTGACAACCGATGGGGAAAAAAGGATATTGAGTGACGGCCGCCCACAGCTAAATGCAGTGTAGGACGACCCCCCACTAGATGAAGTGTCGACCTGAAATACATTGCAGGGAGTCAGTGGATGCAGGTGGTTCAGGACCGTTCTTTATGGCAGTCTATGGGGGAGGCTTATGTCCAGCAGTGGACGGGTAATGGCTGAAATGATGATGATGATGAACAAGATTTTAAGCTATACTGATATTTAAGATATAAAGATATGCATTATACATTTTCAAATTCTGTGTATAATTACAATATTACTTATCTTTTTCATTTCAGTTTTTTAAATTATAAAAAACTCAAAAACTACTCAACGGATTTTAAAAATGTTTACACCTGTAGAAATCTACATCGTTAACAAGTAATATAAACTATATATTAATTTCAAAAATTATATTTACTCATACGAAGTCGAGCCGGATTACTAGTATAAAATATACACAAAAAAATATCCTTTACTTAAAAACCTTCTCTTTTTGATATCGGTTAATAACGGTAAATATAATAATATTTTATACATAAAAGCCTCTTCCAAAAAATAGCATCGGTAACAAAATTGGAAAAATATTTTTATTAAATATATTTGCCATCAAAGTTTACTTGGTACTAGCATTAAAATAAACTAAAATTATAATAAATATAAAAGAGTCTAATGGATTATCTTAATAAGAAGTGTTGCAATTAATTGCAAATGTTTAATACATTAGTCTCGCGTCTATGTCAACATAATTACCGACGTGCTTATTAGTAAATCGAAAGGGAAGTAGGTTTGTGGGTCACAGGAATTTCTTTTATACTTTTCGTGACAGTTAAACAAATGTAATTTCGACTTTCGATGTAAATGACACCTAGTAATGAGAAATCAATAAATTCTACGAATCGTGTTTATGCAATTTGTTAAACATCATAGATTTAAATAGCTTTTTGCCTACTATTTACTACATGTGGATTTCAAATGTAAGAAATCATTTGTAGATGGCGTATTAATACAAAACATATACCAGATATCTTCAGGAACATAACTGTAAAAATCATATTTTATTTTTTGTTGTAGTTTTTGAGGGAGGCTAGAACAAACAGGCAGTAAGACAAAATTTCTAAAAAAATATTGTTATCGCATCTGTCCGTCTTACTAACACATTCTTACATAAATTTTCCTTAAATATTTGCCATGTACAGACATCGCCTAGTTACAATTTTATTATATTAGTCAAATAAAGATTAAATCAGTTTTTATAAATGAAGATGCCCGCTACTTGTATGTTTTTTTTACAACACAGACGCAAACAATTATGCGCCTCACCTGATGGTAAGTGACTACCACCACCCATGATCACCCACAACACCAAACGCATTGCAGGTGTGCTGCCGGCCTTTTAAAAAGGAAAATGCTCTTTTCTTGAAGGTTATGATGTTCTGGATATTAAGTAGCAGGAATCAAAGTATTGTTCATCGCCATTCCAAATACAACACGTATACCAAATTTCAAATACATTGACAAGCTTGGTGGTGTAGTGAGTCAACGTACTGCCTTATCTTACAAAGGTCGCCTGTTCAATTCTCGCACAATACAAACATTTACTTTTTCACATTATTACACTTTTGCTTTTAAAAATTAGCCTTTAAAAATGCTTCAAATGGCGGAACCTGCGAAAGGTACTAGTACTATCCACAAGTATGTTGTTTCCTAATTTTTGTTTTTTTATACAACTAAGGTAGGAAACAAGCATACAGCCCACCTGATGGTAAGCGGTTAGATACCAAATTTCATTCAAATCCTTCCAGTTGTTTTTGTATGAATGAGTGATAAATATCTATCCGTCCATCCGTCCATCGTTAGAAACTTTAGCATTTATTACATTAATAGGATTCCTGAGGTCTAAGATATTATGCCTCTATACTTGGTAATTTCACTGCCATATCCCACCTCTTAAACAGAAACACAGCAATGGCGAATTATACTTTGTTTCATTAGTTATTTCTTACAGCTAGCAATATACCCTGTTAGGTTGACCTCCCCGCGGTTTCCCCTAGAAGCCATCGTGCTGAATTCCAGATGTATTCTTCACGATATGCTAACTGACCTGCCATCATCCCTCACTGGAACATCATGAAGAAAAATCAATTGCTGACACAGTTGTAATTACAATATAATCTGTAATAAAATAACATGCATGGGACGAATTAATGAAAATGAACGAAGTAAAAGAGATACCTAAACTATGTATAACTAGCCGCATCCCACAACTTCCCCCATAATCGTACCGCCATATTGAATAGCCTATAACCCTCCTTTAAGAATAAAGAAATTCAAATAAAAAAAGAATTTTCCAAATCTGGCTGCCAGTTTCAGAGAACAGCGCGTTGAAACAAACAAACTCTTTCGCTTTATTGTACTTGTATGATTACAGAATTCAGTGACCTGATTTCGCTGAATATTTCGTTTGAACCGACCCATATCTGTTATCAGTTAAATAAAACGGTATCATTAGGTTTTATGTTGTGCTATCAGAGTCGAATTTCACTGGAATGTTCCATCGAATGGTACAATCATCGATGGGAGATACGCGTACCATTTACACTTGAATAATTATACGCTTTATTTTTTTTATGTATATTTTTTGTTAATAAAATAAAATTAGGCTTCACAAAAAAAAAACTGCCTATAGACATAAGCAGTACCATGGACATAACAGAGTATACTGTTTGCCCATGATACCCTCCATGCATTGCTATTCCTGAGGACTAAGATATTATTTCTATGTACCCTGTAAATTTACTGCCATATCCCAACCTTCAAACCGAAACACAGCCATTCGAACACAACTGCTTCACGGTTGAAACACAAATGGGACAGGGGTACCCGGGCAAACGATTTGTAAAAATTCTCCCTCTAGTGTTTCTTCTTTATAATATGTAATTTAGTTTAGGCGGTAAATTGAGTGATGATAATTCAGTATATGAGGTTTCACTTCAATTTATGGTTGTCATGTTTAGATTATTAAAAAAAAAATGTCATTAGCTTCGTACTCCTGAGAACATGTAAAGCCGTTATTTGGTAAACGACGCTAGAGGCCTTCACTTACAATGAAGACAGCTTAAGTTCTCCCAAAACACCAAGGGACTATCCTTGAATAATAGAGAACACTTTCCAAATCGTATCCACTCGTGGCAAAATTTCTACATGTTTTAGAATAATGTACATAAAACATTTATTTTGCTTTTAGTAAATCTTCATTTATAAACTATTTACCGACTATCCTGAATGTATAAAAATCAAATCATTTTCCTAATAATTTAAGATTATGTCCAAAAAAACCGACTTCAATTGTGACAAACCCAGTTATTTTGATTTAAAATCTAAACTACTAAACAGATTTTGATAAAATATCTATCAGACGAATCTTTCAGAAAAAGAATTTAAAATTGGTGTACAACTGACGAAGATATGGGGCAACAAATATATATAAAAAAATAAAACCGAATTGAGAAATCCCTTCTTTTTGAAGTCGTTCGAAAAATATATATTAATCAAACGATTATAAATGAATTTAAATTTTGTAATCAATAATTTTTCATGTGTAAAAACGATAACAATATGTTGTATCACTAATATAGTTCCTAATTCATCACAATTAATTTTCAAGGTTAAAATTTATATTTGGGAAATAAATGTATTCTATATCAGTGTATGCATAATATTTGTTTTATATAATCAAGTATAATATATGATGGTAAACAGTCACCCCCTAGTCCATGAATATTTACAACATTAGAGGCGTCACTCTCTTGTTGCCTTTGTAACATATAATAAATCTTGAGTTCTCAATAATTTCGCTGCCATATTTCATCCTTTAAACGAGTATAGAATAAACGAGCAAGTTTTTTGGTAGCAAAATTAACTGAGAAAGGTTCTTATACTGGTAACTTTGTAGTCTTTTTTAATACCACTTAGGTGGAAAACAAGTATACGGCCCGCCTGATGGTAAGCGGTTACCGTAGTCTATGAACAAACTGCAATACCAGGGGAACTACGCACGCGTTGCTGACCTTGAAGAAACCTCTTTTCTCTCCTTTTAAAGAACTCAAGTTCCAAAAAAAGAAAGTCTTTCTTTAGAAATAAGATAAGATAATCTAATAAGATATGTAGATAAATAAAAATAAAAAAATTCATAACAGTGAAAACTTGGCAGGAGAACATAATTACTATTAATCCCCACTTTAGACTAGTAATTTATTTCAGTTATTTCATTTAGTCTCAACTAATTTAGTCAGTCAAGTTTTTGAATAATTTACTGGTAGATTCTAATTTCTTTTTAATACACGTGTATTCAATAATCACATAGATTATTAGAAATTGTTCGTAACAGTAAAATAGTCTATGCACTAGTGATATAAAATTGTTATATAAATTTATTTTGTTGATAACTACAATGGTAAATGTATCTGTTGTGATGACTGTGTGGGTTATAACTTACCGTATTGTACTCGTAAAGTTGATTACTACTGCTGATGATGATGATTCTACTGCTACAGCTAAAACATACTACAAAGAGTAACGCGAATGACATGATAAAAACAAGGTTGGGCAATGATTTTTATTTTTTATTTATTTATTTATTTTTCTTTATTGGTGCTGTTAAATGAAACAAATATTTCATCTAAGAACACCACAATGTCAAATGAAATTTATAATACATTCTTACAATGTCAAATCTTTCAATGTCAATGTCAAATTGATATTATTATACAATTGCACAACAAATATTTAAAAAAAAATCAATGCCGACAAAACAACCAACGAAAACAAAGTCAATGTGGATGGACAGGCGTGATCAAGCATCTGAACGTACTGTCATTACCTGACTTACACTCCTAAAGCTACTGGTGCTAGCGCTCCGAGCCTGCAAGAAGAAACATTCGTTCCTATACACTAGCACACACAGCTTTTGTAACGACCAAGAAGATTGACATGCTATAGCACAGTACACGACGTATACACCAAATAAGTAAGAATACTGTGGCGTAAGAGAACGTGGGAGTACAATGCTTCTCTTAGCTCACATCTCACACTATCTCTAAACACCTTCAGAATGGTCTCACTTAGAGGGATTACATTTACAATAACACAACTTCATATTAAATGGTGAACGCACATAGAAAAACGTATCCAAAGCAAAATATACTTTAATGATTAATACATTTAAAATACTCTATATTTTTATGAATAATTTTAAGTTGCGTTACTGCGTTATGTGTGTATTGTGCTCACAGTTAGGTATTTCGAGGTAAAACGGTATTTCAGCGAATTGACAATTAATATTTTTCATTTAGATTAAAATTTACTACTCGTTACTAAATGATAGAACACTGCCATATATGTTCTCATCCTTTATTCATAATGATAAAAAAGTCAAAATTAGTTTTATGTGACGTTGTAAATAAGCTAACAGTTCCCTTGATATAAAATGGTAACCATTTGCTATAAACATGAACAATACATTTATCTATAATAAACGTATCTAAAAGTTGTTAATTTGAAACAAATAATTTGAGAAAATTGTATTAGTATTTATTTCTTAAACATTATGAAATGTTCATCTATCTATTAATTATGAAATTTTCAAGTAAATTTTATTTTGAGAATTTTTTATATAATAGTAAGTTATCATGTTTTATAAATAATAGAAATTTATAATAGAATATAATGTATTTTGTAGTACGATTGCAAATTTAAATGTACTCTTAAATGGTAAAATTGTAGTCGAAATAACCGTTTTTCCACCAAAATTGTATTTAATTTGTGCAATTACGTGGCAGCAGTTCGGAAGAGAGAAGACAGTTCGTGCAGCATATCTAATCTTGTTGGTCCGGTACACAGAAAACAGTTATTTAAATGTATGTATGCAGAGATATTTGGAGCAAAATTTGAAATTTATTTTACGGATAATGTTAACTTTTAAAAATGATATACAAAATTGATTTTTGTGAATTTTTTTTAATATAACGTTACAATAAGTATGTTTATACTCGAAATATCAGTTCTTATTGTTTTATTTTATTACTACCTTGTACTGTCAAGTTACAGAGCTATATGACATTATAATTAGCTAAGTAGAGTTCACAATATTGTTTCTTTTTACTAAAATATAGTTATCATTAAGAAATTTAAATAATTGTACAAAAAATTAAATCAATCTACCCTTATTATAATCAAAAACTCCTAATATAATTATTCAAATGTAGCTCCAAATCACATATATTAATAATGCAAGCATAATACCTATACTTTGTGTAAGTAAATAGAAAGTTGATAGTAGTGACTTTTAGGTCCTTTTACATAATCGCCATAGAAAAGCTAGATAGAAATTTGCAACCAACACTAAGTAACTCTTTACAGAAGATATTTAATAAGTCAAATATAAAACAACTTTGCACAATATTATTCCAAGAATAAGTCTAGGACGATTTATAAACAAAATAATGTCAAATGATAAACGTCAAATGTTAATGTCATTCTCAATACAAATTTATTTCGTCATAGACTTGAACTTGTAGTAAATCTAATTATTTGTATTAGGAGTAAGCACGAGTGAGTGAAATTTGTCACTGTGACAATTTTATCATTCCTACAATTCCATAGGTATATATAGGTGACAGACATGTCAATAGGGCTGACAAAAGCAGTAAAATAGTCACGATGACAAATATCACTCATGCGTGCATGCTCAAAATCTTTTAATTACTTAAAGAGCACTCGATTGAACATTTAAAGCATTTGCCAAGACATTCAGCAACATCAAATTATTTACATCAATACACGAGTACGTTTCGCATTAAACGTAGACAGTTAGCTGATGTCGGTGTGCAAATGTAGCATTAAAGAATAGTTGTTTTGTTTGGTCGTTGTGATAATCTTGTCATTACACACGGCGACAGCTGAAAATGTATTAAGTAGGTCAGAAGGAAGAATCTCTTAAATGTATTCTCACTGAATTAATTTTTGGGTCACCGTAAAAACACTTAGGTGAGGTCAAACGGAAGTTTAGGGGCGTTGTTATAGCTTTTATTGAGAAATAGGTGTTGTCATTTAATATGACATTATAATCATTATTAAATAATATATTACGTTATGATAATAATTGTTATACGTACCTACATACCTAATATATACCTATTTAATGCTTAAACATTAACCATTTGTTGCAAAATTTAAAAATTAACTAAAAATATAATCGACAAAGATGTCGATTTTAAGGTTTCATTTCTCTAAAATTAAATCCTTAAAAATAAAAATTTTATTTCATAAACAGTAAAATTTTCAATCTAAGGACCAATATAGACTACATTTCTAATAGATTTAAGTCAAAATTATTATAAATGTAGTTTATAATTTATATAAATTACCAAATTAAAATAATTACATAAGTTTAAAGAAAGACCGCCATAGAATCAGACCCATAGTTTTATATAAATATGTTAAAATTAAGAATTTACACGGATTACATGAAGTTAATGTGTTTTAAAATTCAAATTGTGCAAATTTTGCAACTCTGGAATTGTATTTTGGAATTAGAATGCACACATAATTTTAGATGGTGGAATTTTTAATTGGTTTAGTTACTACTTCAAACAATAGGTTTTATATAAAGAGAGTATTATATATTATATAAATGTTTTAGAAATACTCTTCAAGACTTTAAAAGTACGAAGTGATACTATAACAATATTATGAGCATCTCATATAACATTTTCACTTCGCAAATCCATTTTTATCCATTTTAAACCCGTTTCAGTCTCCAATGTTTAAACATTTTTCCTTTAAAATGAAATTCTTGATATTTTCTTGTAGATATAATAATTTTAGATTACTGTTATAAAACAAACTAAATAAAAGACTCGAAAAGAAACTATTTAAAAATACTCATTTAACATTTTGTTTAGTGCTAAACAACGTCTGTCTTTGCAATTTAATTCTTTTTTATTTATAAATGTCTTTTTATGTTGTTTTCCACGATTTTTAATTCCAACGTTACATTTCAAGTAATTTAATTTTATCGTAATTTATCAAAATGTTAACTTTTACGTTATTAAGAAAAACAACTATACCACAGTTCGTCTATAAAAATGGTTTAAATTATAGTTATAGAATATTGTATAAAAATTATTTAACTAAAAATATAAGACTGTAAAATAATTAAATTACGAATAAACAATTGAATTACATTTGTTTTATTTGTTGTCAACAATAAATCCTGAATCTTTATTTTTTATAACCTATACTCCTGCAAGAAGAATAAGTGAGATGAAATGACAGTGGGTTATTCATATAACTCAAAGAACCGATAACCGATGGAGAATAAAAGTTTTCTGGTAATGACTCCACGTAGGCAAATGCAGTGTGCCGTCGGAGTCTCGGACGACTTCAAGCGGGTTCCCCGCGGCTCCGGCAATAGGTGGACGAGGAACACCGTGGGGTTTTAGCCGGTAAGAGTCCGACAGTACCCACATATTTCCCTCGAGGTATGTGTCAATAAGCATTTCCCCTCGACAAAAAAAAGGCAAATGCAGTGTAGAATAACTACCAAAAGATGGAGCTACGATTTAAGACGCGATATTTATTGGAAGTCTGTGAAGGCAAGTGGCTCAAGGCCGCTTCTTATAGCAATTTATGGGAAAAGCTATGTTCAACAGTGGACAATTAGGATAAAATAATGATAGTTGATGATAAGAATGTAGCTTTCCGAATATTTATTACTTAAATAGAACTTAAAGGGATTTGAACGTAACTTATTAGATGTTGGACTACATAAGATACTTTTTATTACGGGCGGGTAATGTATAGTAATATCTATATATTGGTCCAAGAATGGATATATTAGATATCGATTATCTAATATATAATATGGAAAAGAGAAATCCAACCGCAATGTATATAGACATCGGACTGGTGTAGGTGATATCGAAATGGGTGATGACATTTTCTGTAATTAATACCCAGAGAAACCCAATATATAGATATCGGAACAATACAGATATTACCCATGCCTACTTTTATCATAAATTACGCAAGCAAAGCTTTAAAATATAGCTAGTTAAAATTATATCAAAAAACAGATATAAATTATATTAAGCCTATAATAAACTTTACGAAGATTGCAACGACCAAGAGGAAAGAATGTAAGAAAATTTGTAATAATAGAAATATTTCCATTAAAATGCCCTTCTTGTAAACCATGGAGTCCCGAGAAAAAAGTTTTAAATTGAACGTGATTTGAAAGGAGGGAAATAAGGGTAGCGGGCCCAACAAACCGAGCGAAAAATGCAATAATTGGCTAATGAAAAATTTTGGGCGAGAGAACTTTATAATATCTGAGATCTGATCCCGAAATCGATACATAGACTAATATAATTATTAAAAACACTAAATATTAGTACAGGCTGCACTTTTAAGAATGTTCACTTTGCTTTTATTCTCGCATTATACGTCAAAATCCATTTAATAAAGCGCAGAAAAAAATAACTATTTTATATAAGTAAACAGTAACTAGTTATTGAGGAAACAGACTTGAAGCGATACAAGCTATCTATATCATTATATGACGTATCAGCTGATATCTATTTAATGCTGAATGTAGATCTCTCTCTTCTCAGGGTTTTGCCAGTAGCTGACGGCCCACCTGATGGAAAGTGGTAACTGCATGATACTTTCAGGTGTTATTCCTCTGTACCCTGTAAATTCACCCTTTTCAAGATTATTGTCGTAAGAATACTTATTTTAATTTTAACAAACTTAGCTCCATTATATCAATAACGGATAAAAAGCAACAAATTTCCATTCTAAATATCAAATTTCACGATGATTTGGAAGTAACAAACACAAAAACAAACTCACATTCACTTT